ATTCTAGTTGTGAGTGCCTCTGGTTGTGCTATATGGGATGCCGCCTCACCATGGACTGGTGAGTGGTGCCATGTCTGTGCCCAGGATCCGACCTGGGGAAACCCTGGGCCGCTGAAATGGAGCTCGAGAACTTAACCACTTGGCCACCAGACCGGCCCAGTAAATACATTTTTGTTGACATACAGTCATGCACCTCCGTGTGTGTGTGTTGCTCATAGCTCCTTTTGTGCTGCAATTACAGAGTTGAATATTTGCAACAGCACTCATATGGCCCACAAAGCCTAAAATCTTTACTCTCTGGCCCTGTACAGGAGAAAATTGCAGACCCCTATCTGCCTAACTAATTTACACTAATGACTCAGATATCTTTTCAGAATTGGCAGGTCCCTGAACAAAAATGATTTATAAAAGCTGAAATACATTATATCAGTCAAATACATGGCTTTATATATTGAAGAAAAACTTGATGGTGACTAGAATGAAATCTGTTATAATGCTCAGTTTATTGTGATACTATGATTGTCAGACAGTAAGAATTCATGATACTTCCATTTAAAAAATTTCTAATCCCTAAATACATTTAAAAATGTACTTCTTGGGAGTGGACAAGTCAGGTGGTATTATATGGATCTAAAGTTTCAGTTTTGCAAGATGAAAAAATTTTACAGATCTCTTATACAACAATGTGCATATAGTTAACACTACTGTACGGTACACCTAAAAAAAGATTAAGATGGTAAATTATTTGCTATGTATTTTTGACCACAATAAAAAGGAGTACTTTCTGGACACAGATATCCAAGATAATGTTATTTGTGCATTTTGTCTGTAATGAACCATTGTACATTTTTGCCGTATTTTTCTATAATGGACCAGAAACTCTTGGGTTCATTAAAGTTAGGTACCCCAGCTCATCACATTGACGTTCTCAGGTGACTCCTCTGATATTTGAGGCATTTAGTATAATAGTTAAACAAATGCTACTGAAGTGGCCAGAGATAATACTCTGTATACTTTTCCAAACCATATGCAGTTTATTACTGAAATTGTCCTACCTTCTCATTAACCAAGACTTACTAAATTGATATCAGTAGAAATACTTCAATTTAAATCTCTTATTTAGGTAACCAGTTTTTTAAATTGTACTGGAATACTTTACCCAATTAGTTTTAAATGCAAAAATACAAATAGATAAATTAAACAACAAAAAACCCTGACTTTCACACATAAAATAAGAGATTTTTAAAGAAATGTTATTAACCTTAAGAAAATCTGTTTTAGCAAACATTTGCAGCAAGTAAATTCATATAATTTAAGAATCAAGGAATTGAGAGAAGTAAGACTATTCCTTTATAAATTTAGTTGATTTTACATATATATATATATTACAACATATAGAATTTCTAGATTAAGTAACAATGCTCTTATATATCAACTGACTTTGGTAATTAGTTCACTACTCACTCTCTTCTCCAATTACAATTGATTTCTACTTAGTTAGTGTTGCTAATTGTTAGGAAAATGGGGAAATACCTTAATCATTATAGGCATCTTCTAACCTAGATTTAACACCATAATTTACTGCTAAGTTATGCTTTGGCTTGGATAAATGGAATCCTTATGCTTACATTTGTTCCTAAGTATAGAAGAAACCCTTTGGAAGCTTTTTAGCAGTGTGCTCAATAACCACTTTTCAAGAGATTTTTTTCCCATAAACTTTAAAAAAAATTTTAATGTGAAGTCAGGAGAATGGGAAAAAATATATGGTTATTTCACACTTAACAAAATGCATTTCTGGTAAAATACTTGCAGAATTTAATGTATTACAGTTTTTTTGTGCGTGTGAGGAAGATTGGCGCTGAAGTACTATCTGTTGCCAATCTTCCTCTTTTTGCTTGAGGAAAATTGTCCCTGAGCAAGCATCGGTGCCAGTCGTCCTCTGCTTTATATGTGGGATGCCACCTCTGTGAGGCTTGATGAGTGATGTGTAGATCCATGCCTGGGATCTGAACCCGTAAACCCCAGGCTGCTGGAGTGGAGTTTGCAAACTTAGCCACTACACAACAGGGCCGGCCCCAATAATTCTTGACAATTATTTTTTAGTATTGCATTTATGCTGCTTCACTAGGGAGTTTTCAGGCTTGATAATACTCCTGCTCGTTATACTCACTTGTTTGGTCTCTACTTTCACTCAGAATTTAAGTTTATTATAGGTTAGAACTGGAGAAAGTTTTGTTGCGTGGTATAAATAGTTTATCATTCATTTGTTCTCTGTGTAACTCTTAATGGAAGTCACAAGAATATTTCGTGGTCTGCAAGGTAATTCCTTTCTAAGCAGGTGATCATTATAGTCTTTAAATTAGCCTTTGTCTCAAATTGCAGTGTTCCTTCTCAAACCCATTATAGAGTCTCAGCTGAAAACTCATAATGTGCTTATTGAACTTCAAATGACTAATATCTTTCAGCATTTTTTTATTTTAGTTTTTACACTTCACCGTTGGCTGATTATTGGATTTATTATTTCTTCTAGAGTTTGGAAGTTTAGCTTTGGTAATGAGAAGAATCAATGTGCATTATCATACAAGGATATTTCATTTTTACTATTATCATTTAAAGAAAGCTTTTCTCATTTCTTCTGTAGTCATTCTTTTATTCTCTCGACAAATGTTTATTGAACACATACGATGTGTGTTCTCCCCTAAATGTGGACTTTTGTTTAGAAATAGTCACTCTTATTTTTATGGGATTATTTAAGTAAAATATGTATAGATAAATTTTCCATCCTTTGCCCCTTGCTCTTTTTCCATGCCAGTTCCAAATGAATGTGATTTACCATTTTATTATTTAAAAGACAATATAAACATAGTGGAAGAGGCAGTGTAGAAGAATGGGAAGATGGGGAAAAAGCACAGGATTTGAAGTTGAAAGCGAAAACCACAAGTTATGTAGGTTCAAATCTGGTTTCCTTTACTTCAGTTTTGTTCGCTGATTATTTATTGGACTCTGATTCTATGCCAGGTCCTGGGGAAACAAAAAAATAGGATCAAATCTTTGTTGAAAGGTACTCACTTGGTAGTTGCATGGGTGGCAAAAATGAAGAAGCCCAAAACACCAATTATTGGAGAGGACGTGGATCAGTGGGATTTCTCATACCAAGTATGTAAGTCAATACATCCTCTCTTGAAACTAGTTTGACATTATTGAGCAATCACATATCTTGTCACCCAGTGGTTCCCCTCCAAATGAGTTTCTACTTGTATGGAGTGACTCATGTTATTTTCCCATCTCAATTTTTCAAACTCTTTTTCTAACTGCTTATAATAATTATTCTTTGTTTAGAACTTACACGTATTCAAAAAGTAAGTTCAGAAGGACCTTAGCACAAGTTGACTTTTATCACAAGCCAACATGTTTGAACGTTGTCATTGTTTTCTTACACTCTGTTATTGAACTCAGATATTTTTCATTGGAAGGGAGAAACCCTTTCAAGTGTGTAGGTCCTTCATTTTCCTTTGCTGCTCTTCCCCCATGTCTAGCAACACTTGTACTCTGTCTTCCAGAAACTTTGCATACGGCTTTTCTACACTTTGTTTATTAAAAATGTTCTTTGCATAATTTTTATTCAGATGGCAGCACATTCTTTGCAGCCTAAAGGTTTTCCATATTGAAAACTCTGAACCACCCTGCTAAGAACACCACACAGCAGATTCCCATTATGCTGTTTTATATATTCCTGGCAGTCATTTATCCTATCCTCCCATAAAATTATTGTTCAAGGTCTTTGGATCTGGTAACCTTGCAAACTTGTTTTTGTACCAGCCTCATCAGTAGGAAATCTCACGGGTATTTGAGGCAGATCTACTGACTTCCAATTTGCTCCCTACCCATTAACTCTGCTGGCCCCTTGATTTGTTTATTTAATGCTTTTCTTTACTATTTTCTCTTTCTGATTAAGAAACCAGAAAATTGTCTCTTAGAGAATGAAATTTTTAAAAGATGAGCTATAGTATTACCTTGCTTGCTTCACTCTTAGCCTTACAAGACATTGTGTGCAAGTAAACCCTTAAGGAAGGCTTTGATGATGAGGTCATCTAATCAATTTTTCTGCCTGAGGTTCTAAATGAACAAAAACATGGTGAAATAAATAGGTTTCTAGCCATGCCTAAGTAGATTCTGAGATACTTTCACCAAAATATAGACCCTGAACATGATAGACTCTTTTTTCCTCTGCTGAAACGTTTGCTGTTTTCAGCTTTCTCTGGAAACATTCCAGAGGAATGGATGGATTCACTATGATAAATGGAATATATTTTATAGGCTTTGAATTTGGGGAACAGAAGGAAGATATGTTAGTGTTGAAATTTGAATGGCATATTTCTCTTCTTTTGTCTAGGTTTGACATGCGTTTAGGTTTTTTACAAAAATAATTTTTTTAATAATTACATCATGGTAATTATTAATCATGATCTAAATATAAATAAACCTCTACCAATGAAGTATAATTTATTAAAATATCAACCACATTTTGACATAGAGTAACAGTTTTTAATT